TATATACAACATTCAGTACTTTATATAGCCTTCTTTATTTGCAATAAATAATAAAACGGTACAAGGTAGTGGGCGCCACGTCTTTCAGCCGGCGCCCCCTTGGCGTTGGAATTTTCAGTTATACGATCGAAATATTTTTATGACTTTCTTGTAACATACGACCCACTCCGAAAATTCAATGTTCAAGGGAGTTACGCTACGCTTAGAATCATCGATTGTGTAAATCCTCGGGGCTATAGATCCAGCAGTACAGCATTAGCCTAGATTCTCGTTAGATCGTGCAGTAGCATTCCTTATTCTGATCGGTCTGGGTCCCTCACCCCATTCTTAGTCGTGTCGTCCTAAATCTTATCGGTGCCAGACGGCACGTGTTGATAGGGCGCTTGCTGCTATCAAAGAAGCATTAAACCTTTCAACGTCATATGCGTTCTGCAAACAAGTGGATGGTACTGCTTCTTAGAGATGAGCAAGTTTACAATCGCCAAGCTGTAAGCGATTGTCGTAAGGTAGTAGTCTAGTTCGATTAATAATATTAACGAAACGTTATGATCTAGGGTCGAATCACCGCATAGGCACACTTGTTTTGGGTTGGGAACCAGCTATCCAATGTCATTCGTAGCGACTATGCTAGAAACTCAAAACCGTTTTGTCATTTAGCCTCGGATAGCATTTAGCTTTATGGATAATCTTATTTTATGAAAGCGCGGTCGTCTAGGTTCGAGTCCGGATATAGATAGATTTAGGAGCCAGCCATTTGATGAAATGTCTAACGGCGGTAATTTTCGAAGCATATAACCTCCATTCCAACCTCAACGAGAATGTGGTGAGGTTATCTCGACCCTACAACGTATGTTCCATAGTCCAGGTTCCTGGTTAGAGAGCCCCTTTTTCCAGGAAGTACTTATTTCTCTAATTAGTCGAGGTTTTCGTTGGCGAGCGCTCCTTCCCTGAACGTATAGACAGATTTTTTTTACTTACTACTGCACGTCCCTATCGCCGCGATAAAAGGCAACAAACAGTAGTAAATAGCAGATACCACAGTAAAACCAACTGAGCCACATCTTTAAGGTTAGTGTATTTTTCCTTGATTTATACGGTTCCGATTGCGATTACACGAAAAATTAATAAGAGAAGGGCGAACATTTAATGCGGTTTTATTGGGCTCCGGAAAGATCTATGAGCTCTTCAATATGGACCAACAGATCTTAAGACAACCACTAAAAGTATTGCTGATGCCCAATTGTTTGCAAGCTGCTTTCGAGTACGGTAACATATTTTAGAAATATAAATAGGCAAATAGCCTCGTTTACTGATCTCGCGTAGGAGCAGGTGAAATTGATTTGGGATAATATTGTGAATATTAAGTCGGTCTTGCCATATTTGTGTTTCACTGAGTAATTATTTTTTACTCATCCTGTAATGCCTTTGGTGCGTTTTCTCTGAAGGTTTTCGATATTGGGAAGGTTTGGATACGGTGACTTCCATATCGATTTCACTATCTTCCAGACAAAAGGGGTGGCAAGAAACATTTTGGAATATCAAACCTAAGATATATGTATTATGATTTATTCAGTGATAAAAAAGCTAGAGATGTATTATATGTACATGCACGATTATGAAATTTTTGGTCTCAACTCTGAAAACAATTTTCATAGATTATCGATTCTCAGCAGTCTCTCCTTTAGCCAGGACAAACAGGACAAAAATATATTTGCTCGTTTACGAGTAGGCACATAACACCTAAGAGTTTATAAAGCCAATCTTGTTGGAGTTCACCAGTAGTACTCAGGATACTAAGTGGCACTTGAAAGTTACTTAAAATGCTAAGCAAGGCCACGTTCCGCCAAACAGCTGGATAGCCACCAACGCAAGCAGTGCTTTGAAGAATGAGTGATCGTCCAACCGTTCTAGACAAACTGGCATGACTCATTTTTTATAACTAAGTAATAACCTTTTTTATATGCCCTAGCAGACGCTTTTAATTACTGTCCTAATTTTATTCGGGCGTTCTTAAATGTCAGTATACTTAATTGAAATTATCCGGAGACCGGCCTTTAGGAACTTAATTAATCTCTGTAGAGGCCCTGTCTTGTTAACCTAAGATGTGTTACTGGCGTTTTTAAGGATTTAACTGCTACAGGTAAGCGAAATTGTGAAACATCGAAGGCAAAGGTTTAAATGTTCCCGAAATCCTTGCATCTTAGAACAATTTGGAAGTTGTCTTAAATAGAACTTACTATTTATGTCGGTAGTTTAAAAAAATTGAGATTTTATTCAGTATCGTAATTAAATGTCCAACATGGACTTGCCTGCATAATCGATCCAGCAAAACAGAGATCAGCCTTTACAGCCAAGTGTCATCTATAGTTTAGCTAAGCATCTCCTTAAAACCGAAATAAATAGAAACGAAGTACACATTAGTCTGAGGACAATTAAGGCTACAGCAAAAAGCCCTGTCCAAGCTTCTCGGAATTCTGTTCTTTTGTCTAAGCATATTTAGATATCTCTTCATATCTCTTTCACGAATTCGAACGAATCTGCTAGCTTTAGGAAAGACGACTAAAAATGCTCACTCTTACTTTTGAAAGGCAAGCGACTAAGGTCGTTGGGTCACTCGCTTGCCCGCACTAAATTAGTATACATGCTAGTAGTTTGCTACCTGAAACAATTATTCTCTGATAACTAACCCCTAAACAAGGAGACGGGCACGGGTAATGATTTGGGCTCATTCGATATGTGTGCATATCTGCTTTTTTGATATCTTTCAACGTCTCCTCGACAGATGAGCTTTGTCCACAAAGTACGAATGATCGAAAGTTTTCTTAAGAAACGGGCTTTTTTGCGACCACTGACTGAAAAAAGGGTCCGAGGCCTTCCTTTTTTTTGAACTGTTTGCGAACTGAAGCTACCTGTGTGTTCCCTGCGCAACTTTCTTCTCCACCTGTCGACTCCGCCTGACTGTCATTATAAATTGTCGCACGTTCGTCTGAATTCGAACTTCTGCTCTCAACCTAATTCTAATTGTTTCTAACGACCCTTATACTGTTCAATCGAAAGTTTGATACTGGCAACAATATATAATTTACAACACGCTATTAATTGTTTATTAGTTAGTTTAAAATATCATAGCCGAGATGAGCTGAAAACGAACATTGGAGTGGTTGACTAATCAATTGATCTGTATCAACGATTATATCGTTGATACTTACATTTTTATATCATAACATACGTTCTGCTAGCGACAGCTACCTTTTAAAAAAACAAAGAAATTATTTTTACAA